TACTTAGATGCTTCAATGAGTTGCATACCCTGAGGATCGTCACCAAGTAAGTCGATATCATCAGCATAATCTAAGTCGGTCGCGCACTCACCCGGTAGAAGCTCTGGGCCAAAATGTTGAAAACCTTCTAGAGCATTCGACAGAACGTCTTCGATTGCGAACTTGAAGTGGTATGGGGACATAGGGCAGCCCTGTCGCACACCGCTATTGACAGCGAATTGCGAGGAAAGCTTGCCATGGACCCTCACTCTGCCGGATGTATGAAGGTAAAGTGCTCGTAAGATGGCAGTATATTTCTCTGGCACACTGTTATTTAGCAAGCAACGCCATAAAGCAGATCGGTCAACGGAGTCAAAAGCGGCACATATGTCTAGGAATGCAACGATAGTGGGCCTGTCATAAGTGTTGCGATGTTCGAGGAGCTGGCGAAGCGTGAAGATTGATCCACGCGGCCGGGACGGAAACCAGCTTGTTCTTCACGGTAGTATGATTCACGTCTTTGGGATAGTCTGCGAAGCAGAATGGATGCCAATAGCTTGGAGGCAACCGAAATAAGACTGATCCCGCGATGATTTACACATGAAGTGCGTGCGCTTTTCTTGAAACTCGGGACAATAACTGATTCTCCCCAAGAGGAAGGCACTTTCTTTTCATGCCAGATTTTTGTGAACAGCGCGGTCAGCTGGTTAATGATCGCCACGCTGCCGTACTTGAACAGCTCCGGAGGAAGTCCATCTGAGCCGGCAGCCTTGAACCTCTTCAGGCGTCGAATCTCGAGGCAGACTTCCGCTCCACTGGGTGGATTCAATGGGACGAGCCAGGGTAGACAACTAGGTGTACTGCATGTATTGATGGATGATGGAGGCCAGTTGAACTGCGAGTGAAAGTGCTCGACCCAGCGGTCCATACGCCTCTGTTGGTTAGTGATCGGAGACTCATCCACCTCACAAATGACCTCATTGACACCAGGCTTCCTGAGGCCAGTGGACCGAATGTGTTGGAAAAGCCTGCGAATGTTGCCAGAGAGGGCAGCGGTCTCCTCTAAACCACGCTCAGACCACCATGTCTTGTGTAGACTTTGCTTGAGCAACCGGTTGGCCGAACGGCGCCGCTCCTTGCAATCTGATTCCGCCGGGATATCTTTGCTGCTTTCGAACAGCTCCAGAGAACGAACAGAGATACAAGCCTTTAGGGGGCGTCGAGTTAGGCCACACCTTGGTTGTCCGGAAATGGCCATCGCTTTCTGTATACAAGTCCAGTGTTGCTCCACGTCTTGCGGTGGATTGCAACTAAGTACATATGCCAGTAGAGATTGATAGCTCGCCTGGACAGAGGAATCAGTTAATCTGTTTGGCGTGACTGTGCCCTATTAGATATATTAAAGGATTTCCCTGTTATTATGTGGTACTGAGGAGGTAATACGAAATGCTAGCATCTGCCAATATTCGTCTTCGCATTTCGTTAATATGTTTACCTCAATCTTGCGGTGCTTCGGGTTGTGGAACCCTCCAAAACGCATACAGATTTTCGCGCAGACTAGTGCATGATCTTAGTCAACGAAAGCGGACCAAAAGGACCTGCAGTCCAGTACGCTGCCACGGCATCTGAGGCTAACAGCAATGTGATCAATTTGAGACCACGGTTGTGTTAGCGGAACGCTTCTTCGTACGCCTGAAGTTAGTGCTCGAGAGAAAAAGATGATTGTCTTCGCACAATGTGAAAAGCCTCTCTCCGTTATCAGAGCGGTCCTCATCGAGCGCGTGATGACAACCAAGATAGCATTCGTATGGTAACAGCCGGCCAAGCGGTGCATTAAAATCGCCAGCAAGGATAACGACATCCGATTTTTTGCATTATAAACAACGCTGTGAGAAGACGAAAGCTGGCAGATGTTAACATTTCGTATTGTCTCGTCAGTGTCAATACAATAACAGGAAAAAGATATATCTACAGCTAGGGTGTGACCGCATAAAATATAGACAGCGTGGGGTACAGATATGCCATCCCTACGTTCATTGGTGCCTTAAGCTTACAAACAACTGCTTTTTCACGCAGAGTGTCGGTTTGATCCTGCTGATCGCGACAGCCTCGGCGAAATGTAAGATGCGGGTGTTAGTATGTCTCAGCAAGATTATGAACTGTGTGGAAGGGTCGAATGGATGACAAGTAGACAGTAAGTGTCTACCTATGCATGAGGCAGGTGGCTTTCGTGAACAGTTGGTAGACGAAGCGGAAGACTGGATAATTTCACACTGCATCCACTTAGGTACATGTACCCTTACTATGGAATTCAGCATTCTTTCGGTACGGCCTATGTAGTGTGACTCGCAGTTACAAGTGCATTGGTAAATGCTGTGTGTAATGGCACCGAAAGGTTGTCTTTCCTTCCTTGAGGGAACAGGCACTTTGTTGGTTCAGTTAATAAGGACAGCTTCGGCAGCGTAATAAGTCCTATGAACAGCGGAAATTAGTCGCTTGGTTGTCCTCATGGTGGCAACGTCACCTTTCGTGTAAATCATCAACAAGAGCAGGACCCCCGAATTTGAAGAGGGCGTGATGAAGATCATCGTGTCCCGCGGCTTTATTTAACTTCAACAGTGCCATCTCGCGTTCGACTTCTGATCGGGAAGGTGGATCCAAATTAACAGCCCAGGGAGCATGGCGATCACTGGCCGGTGAGGAATCTAACCATTTCGGCCGATGGAATTGGTTTTCAATATTCTTAGCCCAACGCTCCAAGCGTTTTGACATGTGAATAGGCTGTCCACTTTCGTCACGTATAGTTTCACTAACACCAGCTCTGCTGCTGCCCGTTTCCCGTATCAAACGGTTACCAAGGGCAGCGGCCACTTCTATCTCTGACGCACGATGAGACCATCAAGATTCGTGCTCGACTGGATAACTGCATCGTGATACCTTTGGAATCCTCAGGATTCCGTGAACTACCGGTCAGCCTGCTTACCATCGATGATCTGCTGCCGTCAGAGTCACTTTAATGACTTGGACATGACCCTTACACCGTAGCGACGCTTCTGCACCACCAACGTGCTATTTTTGAGAAATAAGTGAGAAAGATTAATAGGTGCCTGCCAACAGTTAGATGTTCTCTTCGATTTTAGCAAATTGTTCGATAAGATTATATATCAACGGTTACTCTGTAAACTCCGAATAATTGGTATAAACGGCATCTTTTACTCTTTGATCGCAGAATTCCTGGAAAGCAGACTCGTGCAAGTAAGAAGGAACGAAACGCTTCCCCAGCCAGTTCTCGTAACTGACGTGACTCCACTGTGTTTCGTCCTTGGACCCGAACTTTTCAACTTGTTCATGAATGACTATTCAAACGGTATGCCTGATCTATCCCAATGATCTCAAGCAATGTTCTGAAATGTCTAACATCGATTATGCTGATAGACTAAGACCACTCTAAATCTACGGGTCTATCAGTTTATCGAATACCCTTCCCGCACCGTGTCCATTTTCTCTGCTGTAGGGATAAACCGACAGCACCATTTATTGTTATACCACTGGCTTATTCCGATATGTCCGCTGAGGATTCTTCCACACCCGGTCTTACAGCTTGCCAAGCGCAGCACTCACCTTCGTTACGCGAATCCTGTGCTCGCTGGTCATCTGCAGGTTTGTTAACAGCTGCCCCCGAGGTATCAAATTTCCGATGAGGTCTCCAAAACTTCATCAACAGTCTTGATTTTTAGCATCTCACGGGCTTCGTTCATGATGGTGACATCCACTATCGTACTTAGTATTACCTGAACTCTCGAGGAGAAAGTTTATTTGTTTATGCGTGTTCACTCGTCGCTCTGTCATGTCTTCGGCTCGGCTAAAGCACGCACGACCGCAGATGCTACAGCACACCTTACTGAAACCGTCGCTCGACTAACCGAAGGTCACCAAAAGACAAAAAATTAGCTCACATGTTTGTCCTTGCTGGTGCACGCTTTCTTTTTCAATGAGGATCTCAGTGTCCGCGAATTTTGCAGTTTGAGACATTGTCAAGCATCACACAACCTCGTCTACTTTTCCTGGTTTTCTGCATTCCAGTCTATATTTTCGTTTGCTTATATTCAACCTCACTTTCCTCTATCTTGGTTGTTACTGCTGGATCTCAACAATTCATGAAAAGTACACATAACACACTTCCAGAGTAGAGTCGGAGTTAGTCTATTCAACTAATCCTTTCTCTCACGCGGGGATGAAATCTGTTGGTGATTAGGCCATGTGTTGCGCATACCCGCCCACCGACTCTCGCGACGTGCGTTGTTGGCACGTCGGAGTGCGGATGGAAGAAGAGGAGGACTGGCCAAACGATGACTTGGTCAAGAGGAATGTATGCCTTTGCTTCGAGTTTGGCCTCTGTTGGAGCCTCTTAGCCCCCTAGTTGGGAACCGAAAGACGATGAACACACTTGTTGACATGGTTAGGAGGCGACCTCAGTGGTGTTTGTGTTGTGTTTATTTGTCCTTCCCTCCCCGCTTAACCTCCCTCTCCAGACATGACCTCATTTATTAGGCATTATGTAACTCCTTTTTTGCGGCATAATAGCCGGCTCTCCGGAACAATGTCCATCCCTTACTGGTGACTCAGCCGGCGTGCCTCTGTTTCATTTTTTTCTTTTATATTGAAGCACAATAGCTAGGGGGTTTTCCACCTTCAGCTAACATGTATAATGATGATGATTCAACTCAACCCTTTTCTGAAGATTAATATAGCTGGATACATGAGTTCCGGGTTGTCAACAAGTTTCGCTTTCAGGTTTGTTTTTCATTATTCAGTCTGACTTGAATGCCCGTCTATAGCCTGAAAGTGCACATCATTTGCTTAGCGCTACCTGCTATCGAGCGTTCAATGATAACCCACATAGGTATCGATGTTAGTCTTGAATCCATCGGTTTTGTCATATGAGATAAATGGGCCCGCTGCTCGAGTTCATTACCCCCATTGCTTCTCCCGTTCTCTTCACACCCGTGCATTTTTTTCTTTTCTCTTAGTTGCAATGGATGATACAGAGTTACTCTCTGAGGAGCTCAAGGGTTTCGGACTCCGTGTTTCAGATGAATCAACCCTAAGAAAGCGTAGCTTTCGTCATGCTTTATTCCTAATTTGTCTCAGTTCTGCAGCTAGGAATACGATGGAATTGTGATGAGATTTCTCTGGTCGAGAAGTATGTGGCATTTCAGCGGAACTTTGATCTGCCCGATTTGATCTCCGAAAAAGATGTGGATTTCTTCGATAGGGAGGTAAAGGGCAACGAGACAACCCCTTTCTTACTACCTCTAGACTTCTTCACGATTAGAAAGCTCAAGACATAAGACCGTGAAACCCAACCCTGCGCCTCTTACGCCTCAGCTTTTACCCCAAAAGATGTTGGAAGAACTGTAAGTGTTACCATTTACAACTTGTTTGAACGCGACATGTTAGCATGGCGACTGAGTCACAGAATGAACAGTACAACCTATTCAGTTCTTATCTTCCCAATGCAAATGTTCCGAAATTGTCTGCTCGACCTCGTCCCATTAATTTGGCCGACAAGGGTAAGTGCACCCACCTCAGCTTCCGTACCTTTACCCTCCTATCTTGTTTTAGAGAATATTGATCACTCCAGTGCATCTTCGGTCACTTCGAAGGACGAAATTATTTGCGCTTTCCATGCTGCACACTCGTTTTCCCTACCTACCGCTCGCACGCGTGTTGCTTCTTCCTTGTGGTCCATAACGGAAGTCAAGCCATTTGATGGAGCTGTCAGATATATGCACCAACCCGTGATTGAAAATGCTGAAAGTACGCCCGGAATGACTAATTTGCTTCGCGAGTTCGCCTCATCATCGCGTCGCTAACATTGTGCCACCTAGTAACCGAGTTAACTTTTCATCTAATTTTCTGTAATTTAACTGTTGATCATTGCCTTTGGATTAGCTTACCCCATCCTGTTTCCATTATGACACGCATACATCCGGGACCATAATTTGCTTTGAGGTAAACCTGCACCATTCCAACTCACTGAGACTTTATATGGAATTCCTTGTCAGGCCAGAAGTATCAGAAATGCGGTTGCGTGAGTATACTTGTCCACTTAGCCACAGTGACTCGTCTACTTAATTGATACGCAACTAGTTAATCAAGTAGACTTAGTTATCGACTACACAGAAGAGACCGTTTCCAATTTGCACTACTCGACCATTGCACGTTCGCACAAATACATTGCATATTCGATGGAGTCTGTGTACCACCTATGTTGCTCATGCGTAATTTGCCTACGACTAAGGTCCGAATATAGAGCAAAATGTCACCGGGTTGCAGAATATTCTGAGACACTCGGTAATCTGATAGATATACAGATTGTTGAATGCGCAGATAGCTTTCTTACCTCCGCGCTCCTTTGAGTTCTATCAAATAGCACGTTCCAAGTGCCCCCCAAAACCACGCTTGCCATTCAGGTCGGCACCTTCGTCACACATTATTAGCAGCGGGCGTGTCAACTCTTACAACCAGTCTGGTCCGTGGATAAATAGGCAGTTTCTGAAACTTCTATATACCCGCCGACACATTCCCGCTGGAATCGAATACAACGAGATTAATAAAGATTTGCGAGCAAAATTGCGTGCCATTCTGAAACGACCGTTACATCTGGTTATCTCATCGAGCATCTGTCATCAGCAGTACACCGGTACGCCGCACCGATGCTTCGTCGTTACGACACCACCATCAGTCGCGCACGGTCTAGCTATACTGCGAGATCTCCCACATCTACGCGGATTTGAACCGGTGACCTTGGGGTTCCAAAGCAGACATCTCTCTCCCCCGCCGAGCATATTATGCAAATCCTCACGTGCTTATCGTGTCTACCCCTGGCGCTATCCATCCGTGAGTGGCTTGTCTGAAGAGTTCGTTTCCACATCGAACCATCTGCGTTGCCGCCTACCATGCTCAGGTGGGTCCAACAAAGGCCATCCCCTTTGTTCTTCGATACCAATGAAGACGACCGACATTACACCACAGTTACATGAGACCCACAGTTATTCCTAATGGATGAAGTGTTGATACATAAACATCATACTGACGGATTTGTACCTGTCTTCTTGAGCGGAAACCTCAGACTCGGCCAAATCAGTGTCCCTATTGTGTTTGATCCCTTGTTCGTAATAATAAATAATGTGTCAACTGTACGCCGTAACGGCACTTCGCTGCCGTGCGACCACCACCAGTCGCACTCGGGTTGAGTATACCCCCAGGATGCCCACCCCTACGCGGATTCGAGTCCGCGCCGCAACATTACGAGACAAGTTCGTTACCTCTTGGCTACGGGGCTGGTAACACCCAATGTCTATGCGCTGATTCCTCAGAGTTACGTTTGTTTTGTTTACACCTGTACTTCGAATCGTTAATTTTAATTACTCTGTGTTTCTTCATAGGATCACTTCACGGTATTATTCTGGTTTTTTAGTCTTAGATAACTGGGCTTGGAAAATTGTCAAGAAAATTCTTGCCTCTGTACCAGAAGATGTGTTGTCTGAAACGAGAGACCACTCTGTTGGCTGTTTATCGCAACGGAACGACAAGTGAGTCCCATGCTTTTGTCATTTGGACGCACATGGATTTGGCACTTGACATCTTTTGGTGGAAACTTGGTCAATCGGACTGCTTTTTAGTCGTCTGCCCTTACACATTCTGCCGACATCCCATTTGATGAACTTACTACCATCGAATAGAACTGGCGACCGCACGCTTATTTTACCAGGTGCGAGGATCACCATCTGTTGCAAAATACAGGATGCACCATTGTATACGATGCATGTTATTTCCGCACTTGCAGTTGCTAGTGCTGTTCACTGCTGGCATCATCTCTCACGGGCCCAGACTAACTGTTGTTCCAAACTAAATTACACATAGGAAGCAAATTATTTGTTCCCTGGACACCTCAGCCTAATCCGAGGGCACCTCATATACTGCGACAAGTGTAACTGCTATTACTGCCGTGTATACTTGTCTTTTCGCTATTTATTTACTTGTACAGTACGAATTTTTTGTAGCTCACCGGTCATCATCGATTACCACACCATATTCTTCTGTACGAATCCTCTGTAGACTCTACGTCATGAGTGGCTTTGTGTGGAAAAAATGTGTCATTTGCACGCCATAACGGCGCTTCGCTGCCGTGTGACCACCACCAGTCGCTCGCGGGCTAACTATACCTCGAGGACGCCCACCCCTACGCGGATTCGAGTCCGCGCCTCAAGATTACGAGACAAGCTTGTTACCACTAGGCTACGGGCCGACATGAGTAGTTATACTTACTGAGTGTGCTCGTAACTTTTTACTCTTTACCTGGTGTAGTGACTTTTGACCAGTTTATTTTCTTACCCTGATCAGGACTGCGCTAGTGCTCTCGTCTCGACGTTTATCACAAATGGTCGAGTGATAGAGAAGCAGTTTTGTTTGCGCTACTCGCCATACGCGTCTCGCCCACACGCGACTTGCATATTACGTGCTGGCGTCTCAACAGATCTTGGTTGCTGTGCCGCTGGATCGTCGTCTCCTTGATGGCATCAACGTGTTCCTCGCACTCTTCAAGCTACACCTTACCTGTTGACGCTTTTTCACTTGTGTGGCCCCCACTGAATTCCATTGAGTAGCATCCCCAGTATGGTTTACGCATGGACTATTACTAACCTAATCCTATTACTTCGTGTTAGCACCAAATATGTGGGTGTCTCCTGATTACCGGACTGGGTTCCGAGGGATGATAAAGACCTTTGGTTGGATACACTTGTTGACACAGCGAAGAGCCGATCCAATTGACGTTTGTGTTGTGAGTTCCCTTATCCACCCCCCTTCCGCTTATCTTCCCCCTCTACTGGTGTTCTCACACGTGATACGCAATATGGTACCAAGGACTGTATTGCTTTTGGATTTTTATCTTGTGTTCTGTAATGTTTTGTACCTAGCTGTTTCATCTTTGTTACCTTTCTGTTTCTCACCTTTGTAATGATGATGATGGCACCAGATATGGGCTGTGTGAATGTGGCTGCGCATGATGCAGCACAACATGCCTATGGTTCCTCTGTAGGTGCAGTTATCCTATAACTGTTCGTACTCAGTGCTACTTAAATCCGTAAATAAATAAACGCGGCAGAATACGACTGTCTTATGACCGGTATGCAGTTATAGTCAGCCACTTGTCCTCTAAGCCGACTGTCTCTTTTTTGTTGTTTCAGTTCTGCCACGATCCCAGCCACTTCCCACGAGAAGCTATCTAGTTCTCAACCTTCCTTTGTCAACGGAGATGGCCTCGATCGAACAACATACCTGCGCCCCACAAACGCACGTCTCCAATCCACTGCGATCGTTGCGGGGCGCGTATCGTCCAACGTGACCGTGAGCGCATCCACACGGCAATCTGAAATTTATCCTAACGGCCCACTTCCTGGTCCCCTGTTTTCCAAAGCACGTCTCCAATTGGCCTCGGCCTCTTTAATCAGTCTTCGTCGGGTGGGTGGATGTGGGACCGAATCGTCAGGTGCCACTCGCATGGAATTCCTACGCAGCGATACACGTTGCGCGTATTCCATTTATGCCGGCCAACCGGTAGTCTTACGTGCCGCCAATCCAACTGGACACCAGTTACTTGTATCGGAAACATTACCGGTGCGTGCCAAGACGCACATCTAATACATCCTTCCATGGACTAGGATAAGTTTTTTCACTTTTACTATGCCGATTTTATACTGCCTGGTTTACCTCCAGACCATTTTCTCAATCTCGAGACATTCACGTGCTGGTCCTCTCCATAATTTTGATCGTAAGTCTTTCTAGGTTCATTGATTGCCAATCTACCCTCAAAGTCAATGGCAGTGCTGCCGCGGTAACTCCACTATTTGATTATTGCACACTGGAGCGGCGCACTTTTGCTCTCAAACGGTTTGTTGCCTGATGTCGGCGATTTCATCTCAGAAGACTGAATTTGGGCGAATCTTTCTGCTGTGTTTTCGCTGATCGCACGAATAACCAATACTGCTATCGTGAATCCCTGACCAGCCACTTCCCTACTCAAAAGATAGGCCTCGTCAAAAATTCCCAATTGAGTCCGCGTAAGGTACGACGCCATTAGTGGTCAAATTCTCCATGGTTACATAGCTCCACAGAAGTGACCCAGAGAAGGGCCCCGTGCTACCAGAGACTTCTAAGGGTCGGCAAAACACTCATTGGCTGGCTCTTGGTCCATGAGCTTCAAACTGGGTTGATCCAAGCTTCTGCTGATGCTCTCTGCGCGGAAACCAGTTAGCAAGGCTACTGTGAGCTGGCCTTAAAATCTTCTGAGAATATTCCGATCATATACCACTTCTGTGCATGCGCGACTTCGCAGTTCGCTCTCCAAAACGTATCCAAGTCGAAGCAGTCACGGTTGCTATGGTCTACTTTCGAAGAGTTTCGCGGACTTATCATGGCCTGTACTGACCGAAACGTATGCGAATGTTGCCACCTGGTAGGCAAGTTGATGTGTTCGGACCCAAATTCGCGTCATGCACCTGAATCGTTTATTTCTCAAAAATATCAAGGTTACTCCACAAATTTGCTATAACATTTACTTACCATACTTATCAACCTGGGATTTCAGTTAAACTTTTTGCGGTACTACTCGCAGCAAATGGTGGCCGATCTGCTTCATTTGTGAATTCCTTAGCTAGATCTATTTGAATATATGCATCCGAACCCGAGGCATCTTTCTTCAGAACATGATGCTCAGCGAACGGCGCTTATCGTAGTTATTGGGTATCCATGGTTGGATTTGAACTACCTACTGCGTATATTTTGTTTGCAGCATATGCTTTCAGTTTACGCTGCACCTTCCACGTAAGCCATGTCCACTTCGATCACTGAGATCTCTGAACTGGATAAATGTAACGCCTTGTTCGCCTCCAACACTGTATTTTCCGACTTATTTCGTCCTTAGTTGGGCTACTCAGGTCAGGGTAGTCAAACTTGGGTATCTAACTCGGGACGTCGTAGTTGCCTGCCGATACTAAGCTGGAAGATAAAATATTTGTTTCGAAGTTTCAGTTTTAGTAGAATCAACAACCAAGTATGAAATATACTGGAAGGGGCGTTACGATTTGAACTACAAATTAATACAGCTTTGAATTCTCGTGGGATGGAGAGGACGTTTATCGATTCACTCTATCATGGTGCTCAGCTTGGCACTTTAGAGGTTTCCTTGGTTTACCCTAGCTCATCCTGTAAACTACCGCCCTTCTTCTCACTTTGTGACAGAGATCGGCGGGGATGTGCGATATAATTGTTCGTTCTAACCGCAACTAGGTGCACACATCCGACTCCACAATTGCTTCCTCCTGTACTAATCACTATGCAACCGACCGACCGACCTATGTATTCGCTTCGTTTTTTGTTCAACCAAAGGAATTGCTGTGGTGTGGTTTTTTTCCACAACCCACTGCGGTGGAGCTTGACTATAGCTGTGTTCCCCCATTTAAAGAACACAATCGACTCTGTCAACCACCTCTTCCTAATCAGTGTACTCACTTAGTAGCACGCGTTAACTTTATGCACACTGCTGTATCGCCTCAGAACGCATCAGGATGTACGGCTACTCGTTGGACATTCTTCCGGCAAGAAAAGGTTTTCATCGAAATTGTCCCATCTCACTATTTCTATCCACTTCAACCACGTAATCACTTTTAGACCGCTCCCCTACGGATCTTCAGGCTTCCAATGAGTGTAATCGGCCGCTTTAAATTGCACGGATGACATCGCTATACCGGTTTGAATTCGTGGAATATCGCAGTTCCTTCTGAGCAAACTGATGAGGTCCTGTCCTTTATCATCTGATTTCCACATTAAAACTGCTGTTTTGTTTCGAAGCCACTGGCTATTTGTTAGTCCCCTGGATGACTTGTCGAACTAACTCTTCACAGTATCAGCTGGATGGTTAGTCTTCATTACGTTCCAGCAAGTATTTCGACGATAGTGCCCCAGCACTTGAGGGATTTTCGTCTGACTGGCATTCTTTCTATCAAAGGCCGCATGTGTCCGTTTACTAATCGACGTCGCGGTTGTGACTCGCCACTAACTACATTTACTTCCCCTTGCCTTACCCCGATGGAGCGTTGTAGTCCGCCAGATGAATACTGAAATTGTCGGTAGAATTGGGCCCCGGTTTGGCTACTCATCGAACCAAATGTGAGTACTCGGTCATTAGCTTCCAATGGAAGAGATTCCCTGACTTCACTACGTTGCCTTGCGAGTACGCTATTCAGCCGTAGGCTCGGGGTGGTGTCCTCTAAGATAACCCTACTTCAACCTGGGCAACTGAGTAGTTCCATGCGCTCTGAAGAAACTATGCGTTTTCAGTGCCGTGTTTAATTTTCTTTCTACAAAAGCTGTACCTTTCTTTGAGTTTTCTGGTTTTTAGTGGTTCCATGTTGCAAATCCATACTTACTGGTGAGGAACATAACAATAGGCGTCTTAGAAAAAATCTATCTGAACCATCTATGCTGCAACATTTTCCTCGATCTTGGTCTGTCGATCACTTCCCTGTACCTGACTTTGTTCCCCGCGGAGCATTTCTCATGTCAGGTGGCACCATTGTTGTAGTAGCAGGTGAACGTTAGACAATAAGAGTCAACTTAAACCAACAAGTTCTCTCGAGTAGGTTACCTTGATTTACACACAAACTACTTGCGCTTCTCACAGCATGTACTGGTCCTCAGGGAGGACATCTTACTTGTAAACCAACTTCTCGAATATCTGTTTTAAGATCTTGTTTGTACCCACTAACATTCTTGTTTTTTGCTGTTTTTGTAATTACACCGATGTCCGCACTAGGCATATTCTGCCGGTCATGTCAACTCGTTTGTTTGTGCAGGTGCTTATGCGTATTGTCATGATCCACACATATACTCTAACGCCACTGAGCCCTCTTGAAATTAGTAGGAAAACTGAACGGAACAAATAGCCTCAGCACCCAGCAGACGTTTTGTAGCTATGGGTCATCCGGTCTACTACGAATCGTCCTCCGCTGTTCACAATCACAATCCAGACAGGCTGCTATCGTTGGTCACAATCTCTGCTGAATACCATGCGAGAGTTGTCAGCTACAGTGCTAATTGTTCCATGCTTAAATGTGGTGGCTAACACAGTTAGTCGCAGTTTCTGCTCTTGACCCGATTTGGCACACAATATTCACCTCGCGTGCCCGTCGCAACTGTGTATCACCCATGAGGTTTGTGGGTGTCCGACTGACATTTTCGTGTAAGCATTCGTATTTTGAAGGTTTGACCGCCTGTATGTTTCCGTGCTCTTTTAGACTCCCGTGACACCACCACCCCGCTTTGAGGCACCGAACTCAAGTACGTGTATAGTTCTACTGTGATATCCGAACTCTCCCTAAATATCCCCGTTTCGCACTGTCTTCTTGTCCCTTATGAGTTTATTCAACGTGCATGCTCATTTTCCGTTTCCAACAGCGCTATATGTGATGGTCGCGTCCGGACCCTATACGCTATCCGATTCGAACGAGCCGTCGTTGCTGCTCGCCCTTTTGCGCTCAGTCCGAAAACATCAGCCCCACATTCTTGTTCTGACTGGGCCATTCGTGGATTGTGAGCACCCCGCTGTGCATGTGAGTAGTCTGGTTCTTCGGAATTCTTTCTGCGACATCAAAACATTTTATCTCCGTATATTACTTTTTTCCATCTCCAAACTTAAACTCCAACTTAATACTTCCAGCTTCTCCGCTACAAAGCCTCCACACGGTCAGTCACCGCCGGCCCAGTTGGCTTACTAACTAGAATGTGTCGTCAGACACCCAGAAGTTTCGTAGACTGCCTAGAAACCCAATATCCAGATTGGCAATTCGATTTGCCGCATGGAGACACACCTGCTACTGCTAAATTCTAGTGATTTTTAACTGTTTTCGGTGAGCGCTTACTCAGCTCGGTTGCCAGCATAGTTTGATACGCATTCAGAACATCTGGCTTCGCCTGTTGGCAAGTATCTATGCACTCACAATGTCGCTTCGTGCATCCGACGAAGCGAACTCTAAGATCGGCACAAACGAGCGCGTATTCAAAGTCCACGCTCGTGCCCCAAATCGAGCGACAGTTTTGGGCACAGCCTCTCCAGCGGTAACTGATTGCGATGTGATCGATTTGCGTCCATGGCTGGTCCGAGGCTGGTGGTCGCTATGTCACTCTTCTGTGGGTAGTGTGTAGAAGGTTAGTGCTCGTGAGAAATAGACGAGCATTTTGCCACCAATGTCGCGATTGCCCACCGCTATCGTTACTGGAGCCTACCCTGTGTTGACCACCCAGATGCAGCTCATCAGTGGATACGTTTTCAACTTAGGAGTTCTGATCACCAGCTAGCGCTACATTAACGAAGGTATGCGTTCCGTTGATGGTAGAAGTCATTTTTCGCCACGTCAGTGCTACAATTTGTGGGGGCGTAGACCAGAATGACGAAAAGGCGCTGTTTGTTCACACTCGACTTCGAGATTGTAAACGAACCCACCAGTCTGACGGTGCACATCCGACTGTTGATTGGAACCCATTCTATCAGTACAGCTTCAGCCCAGGGAATCAGAGCAATGACCACTCCGGTTTGGTCGGTATTCTGCACTGCGTCATCTCCAGACAAGCGCAATGGGGAACTGCCGCCAGTCGCCCGAAGAGGATCGCAGAGTGAGCACAGAACTCGAGTCTTGCAGCTGGGTTTCTGATAAACAAAAGATATCGATCAAGAGAGTTCCTAGTTTTCGGGTAAGTGCTGGCCTTTTGCCAATCTGCTATAAATTGCGCACGTTGAGATATGCCACTCTTAGGTAGGATCGATGGTTCTAAAGTGAAACGGATTAAATGGTGTTGTCCGCTTGGTTGGACATGGACTTGTCGATCAAAGCGGAGCGACACCCTTCGATTGTGTGTGAGTCCAAGCTAGAAGACCAGTGACTATTGAAGCAAGATGGAGGCGGGCCGAGAAGTGGGGGTTTCAAACAGGGAGATAAACGTGAAGTTTGAAGAAGGCAACGAGAGTAAGAAGGCGCGAGAGGAGGAACGGGAAGTTTTGTACAGTAGCATCACTCTTATCTACTCTGTTCAAAGCAGCAGCTAGGGAGCCGTTGCTTATCCTCTGCGACGGCCAGAGCATCAAGAAATCGTGTATAGATAAGTTCATTAAATAATATTGCGTTGGCAGGATAGTCTCAAATTGTCCAGGCCTAAACACTAGAACGATTAGGGTTCTCAACCAAAGCCTTGGTTCAAAAACCTAACCGCAAGGCAGCGGGGTTTGGGCACTGGGCTACACTGGAGGGTCAGGAGACTGAGTTTGTCAGGCCTATAACCACTGACGAATTTGGTATGGGTGACAGAAGGTTCTTAAAGCACCACCCAGCATAGCTCAGTTAATTGTTGAGGCATGCAAACCACCGTACCACATTAAGGTCCAGTCTCGTCATGATTGACTGTCTCGATCGACATTATTTCTAATATTTCCCAACATTGTAAGTCAGGTATCCCAGGCGCACTGGATCAAGTTCCAGTTCAGTTTGGACAGGAACGGTAAAAAAATTCTCATGGGTGTTCCTTTTTTAATGCCTCGTTAAACCAGCATAAAGTTCGCGGGATCGATTTGGAGCCGAGGAGAGCCAAATCAATGCGCACGAGTCACATCACGATCAGCGACATAATGTCCACGCGGCCTGCACTAACAGTCCCCACTGTACCGGCCACGTGAATAAGAAAAAAAAGACTAAGAGAAGGGAATCAACAAAAACAGAATAATTATAATTATAGTACAAGGCAGAATGTGTAGCTAAGGCAATAATAGTAATAAGGGGTTGGAAGTTATGGAAAAAGATGTGGAAGTTAAGAACCCAACCAAAAAGTCTGAAACTGCTACCCAAGGGCGTCGAGTAGATGTTCATACTCCTTCACTGTTGGTGCTAATACGACTCCGCTTGATAGTGCATTCCATGAGTCGACGACCCTGCATGATAAACGAAAATCAGCTCTAACGCGATCAGATCTGCGCTTATGCAACTTCAGAGGATGTCCACGAAGACATGTCCTTCGAGCTGGATGGAACGGTCTAGTTAGATCAGGCCAAATCTGGCCCGTCAGTATACGGTACGTAAGAATCAGGTCACGCCGAAGACGCCCATAGTGCTGCTAAAACATTTGCAACCTGAGCGGCCTATCGGAAACCCTTGTGGGTAGCAGTCACCCGGTTCTCGCTGAATTTAAAATCAGTGGATAGCGAGATACCCAAGTCGATTAGTTCCATCACTTGAGGCACTACCTTTTCGCCAAGTGCGTAGCGAGTTTTGGGAATGCTTGATCCTATGCGCAGAACCGGGTTCTTGGCAAGATTTATTGGCAGCTGATACAAATCTGACCACTCCCAAAGCTTGTTACGAGCTAATTAGAGAACCATTTTGGATTACACGTCGTGACCTGGTAGCGAAAAGGGGTGGAGGTTTCGGCTACTATTCCAACGGGTGCGGGTTCGTGACCTGCTATCTCCACCTCATGAGACAAAATGATATCGAAATGTGTCGCGATTGTGCAGTGTTTTCCAGCGGGAACACCTAATTTCCATCTGCTTGTTAAGAGCTCTCTGCAAAGCCACGAGACCATCGGAATCGCTGAATTCCAACATTTCAACTCATCTGCAAACATAACTGGTGGTACCACAAGCTTCTTAGGGAGGTCGTTAACATACCATGCAAATACTAGAGGTCCGTGGACCGATCCCTGAGAAACACCACTCAGAATGGCTTGTCTGAAAGACAGCCCGGAACCCACTCGAACGCTCATCTGCCTACTTTCCAGGAATGCCGAAATCCATTTCAGTACGGCCTGAAACGCCATAGGATTTCAGTTCGAACAAAGATGACAATGCGTGACGGTGTCAAAGGTTTTAGAAAAGTCAATGAACAAAACGTTCACAGCCTCAGCTCAGCACAAGGGTGACGTCTGCAGAACCCAGGTTGAGACATGCTGAGCAAGTTGAACTTAGCCAAGTGTTTCTCGAGAGCATCTTTTATCAGCTTCTCTACTACTTTAACTAACTAACTTTAGCTAAGCGGTCTGTAATTTTCAGTTAGGTGCTTATCACTCTTTTTGAAAATAGAGCACACGATAGCATCTCTCCGGTCGGCAGGTAGGGAGTAGCTACGAAGAGACTTCTCATAGAGACATGTAATCGGTTTACACAGCAACTCAGCCAAGTCGTACAAAAGCTTGGGATGGAAGGCATCTATCCAGGCAGCTTTAGTGGGATTCAGATCACGTAAGAGCTTGAATACCTGTGCTTTCGAGATAGGAAGGTCCGTCAGGAAGGAATCCACTGGGATCTTTGTCTTTAAGTCGATATTCGGCAACGGAAATTCATGAACAAACGACCTTGTATACTGTTCCGAAAGTAAGCAAACCTTTGCCTGATCGGTTGATGCTTCAGTTCCGTCAGGCTTAAACAGCACAGGGATAGACGAATTTGCTTTACATCGACATTTAGCGTAACCAAACACCGTTTCGGGTCTTTTGTTGCGGATCGAGCCAGCGCTAGTTCACACAAACGTGCTGTTTACATGCATTTCGCACGCCTCGATAGCGATGAAAGGTACCTTCTGAGGGGCTAATACGTATTTCCTCCAACATTTTGATCGTCTACTGAGCATCCTGCGCGCCTCAGGAAAACCAAAACGGTTTCGCCCCCTCTTTCTTCCTCAGCTAGGTTAGCATAGGGAGAACTCTCACAATGGAAGGATTTGACTCAAGTGATCTGGACGGTATCATCCTCTGAAGTAATGCGGAGTGATTTGCAGCCTCGTCCCTAACGGCTTAAAAATCAGCGCACCAGATATTTGGCCTCATGGTGGCCCCACTTTGTCTGTAGCCTAAAAGTAACGAACTTGTCTCCTAATCTGACGGTGCGGGTTTGAGTCTTCGAAGGAACAGGGCGACCCTCGCAGAGTGCTTAGCCCACGTGCGTCCGGTAGTGGTTGCGCGGCAGCGGAGCGTCGGTACTGCGTACCGGCGTACTGCTGATGCTTTTTGGCTTGGTAATACATTCTTCACTGCCCCGTCTTAAGGCGCAATTGAATAATGAGCGCACGTGATCCCTAGGACCCAAGGAGAATCGTAAACTACCTCTCCTGCAAATTCCATCGATTTTGCAAAGATAAGGTCTAAAAGGGAAGGCTTTTGATCCCCCCATGCACCTATTTGGCCTTTGTACAAACTGGTATAGGGACGCTTGTAAGGAAAGGTCAAGAAGATCCGTGGAAAAACATTCTGACGCTGTTATGCAGAAGAAATTTCTCTAATCAACTTCAGGAACATTAAACCCACCCATAATCAGGCATCTTTTGCACGTATGAATACGAACGAAATCGAAAAGCCCGTTTGACACACTTTCGGGGCTTCCGTATACTAACACCATTTTGCATTGCGTGAAAGAGGTGCACGCATCCACCGGAAGAGCCTCGGCAGTTACCTCAGTGGGATTGAACAAACATGTTCGTAAAATAGTCAGGGTAGCTCTGATGTACAAAGCAACTCCACCTCCGCGACAGCATTAAGCGCGATCAGCTTGCAGGCAGACACACTTCACTGTCGG